TTTGCACGAGTTTGTATAAGTCTTTCCAAGTTTTTCTGAAACCATTTCTTATAGCACAATTCTTATAGTATTCCATCACAGTCATATACCACAACTTGTTCAGCAAATTCCCAATTGATGGGCATCCTCTCTGTTTCTAATTCTTTGTACCACAAAAAGAGCTGCTATAAATAGTTTTGTACAAATAGGTCCTTTCCCCTTTTCTTTGCTCTCTTTGGGATACAGACCTAGTTGTGATATTGCTGGGTCCAAGGGCATGCAAAATTTGATTGCCCTTTGTGTGTAGTTCCAAATTGCTTTCCAGAGTGGTTACACTAGTTCACAACTCTACCAACAGTGCATTAGTGTCCCAATTTTTCCATATTCCCTCCAGCACTTGTCATTTTCCTTTTCTGTCCTGTTAGCCAATCTGATAGGTATGAAGTGGTATCTCAGTTTTTTTTTTTTTAAATTTGCATTTCTCTAATCAGTAGTGACTTATAGCATTTTTTCATGGGACTTGTGATAGCTTCGATTTCTCCTTCTGAAAAAATGCTTGTTCAGGGGCAGCTAGGTGGCGCAGTGAATAGAGCACCAGCCCTGAAGTCAGGAGGACCTGAGTTCAAATTCAGCCTCAGACACATAACACTCACTAGCTGTGTGACTCTGGGCAAGTCACTTAACCCCGATTGCCTCACTAAAAAAAAATGCTTGTTCATAACTTTTCACCATTTATCAACTGGGGAATGTTTCTTATTTTTATAAATTTGGTTCAGTTGCCTATAAAGTTGAGAAATGAAGCCTTTATCTCAGAAACTTGTTGCAAATTTCTTTTCTCCAGTTCCCTGTTTTCCTTCTAATTTTGGCTGCATTAGTTTTGCTTGTGCAAAAAGGTTTTTAGCTTTATGAAATCCAAATTATCCATTTTACCTCCTGGAATGTCCTTTATCTCTTGTTTGGTCATAAACTCTTTCTGTATCCATAGATTTCATGGGTACATTTCCCATGCTTTCCTAACTTATTTATGATATTACTCTTTGGGTCTAAATCATTTATCCATTTTGACCTTATACTGGTATATTGCATGAGATGTTGGTCCATGCCTAGTTTCTGCTATACTGCTTTCTATTTTCCCCAGCAATTTTTCTCAAATGTTGGGTTCTTATCCCAAAAGCTTGGGTCTTTGGGTTTAATCAAACACTAGATTATTACTGTCATTTCCTACTGTGTTTTATGTACCTAATCTGTTTCACCGATCCATCACTCTATTTCTTTGCCAGTACCAGATTGTTTTTATGATTACTGCTTTGTAATATAGTTTGAAATCTAGAACTACTAAGCTGCCTTCCTTAACATTTTTTTCATTGATTCCCTTGATATTCTTCACTTTCTGTTCTTCCAGATGAATTTTGTTATTATTATTATTTTTCTAGGTCTATAAAATAATACTTTGGTAATTTGATTGGTATGGCACTGACTAAGTAAATTAACTTAGGTAGAATCATTATTTTTATTATATTGGCTCAGCCTACCCATGAGCAATTAATATTTCTCCAACTGTTTAGATCCATCTTTATTTGTGTGAATCGTGTTTTGTAATTATGTTCACATAATCCCTAGCTTTTTCTTGGCAGGCAGACTCTCAATTATTTTATATTGTCTGCAGTTATTTTAAATGGAATTTCTCTTTCTATCCCTTCCTGCTGGATTTGTTTATAGTGTATAGAAATGCTCATGATTTATGTGGGTTTATTTTATGTCCTGCAAATTTGCTGAAGTTGTTAATTGTTTCAACTAGCTTTTTTTTAGTTGATTCTCTAGGATTCTGTAAATACACCATTATATCATCTGCAAAGAGTGACAGTTTTGCTTCCTCGTTGCCTATTTTTAATTCCCTGAATTTCTTTTTCTTGTCTTCCTGCCATAGCCAGCATTTCTAGTGATACTGAATAACAGTGGTAAAAATGGACATCATTGCTTCACTATTAATTTTATTGGAAAGGCTTCAAGTTTATCCCTGTAACAGTTAATTCTTGTTCTTGGTTTAGGTAGATGTTATTCAGTCAAAGTTGCTGCTGTTTCTGTCACCATCACTCAGTCATCCATGTGGACTTCAGGCCAGCCTCCTCCCCTATGTCACAGATCTCTGATTTCCTAAGCTGTCCCGGGGCTGGAAGAATGTTTCACTCTGACCTTTTGTTGGCTTGATCACTCCAGAATGGGATTTTATTTCAAAGTTGTTTGAAGGCGAATGTTGTGAGAGCTCTGCTGAATGTTTTTCTACTCCACTATCTTGGCTCCATCCTTAGAAATCTATACTGTCTGTCACGAAGGAATATCATTGTGCTGTACAAAATGGTATCTATGAGGAATTTATGAGAAGACTTGCATGAACTGATTCAGAGTGAAGAAAGCAGAACCAGGACTACAGTATTCACAACGACAACAATAATGTAAGTGAAAAGAAAACTAAAAGACATCAGAATTCATATTATATGCAATGACCAATCCTTGTTTTGGAGGAACTATGATGAAACAACATTCCTTCCTCTTAATAGAGAGGTGATAGGTTACCAATACTCCGTATGCTATTAGCTATTATCTCTGTATCAGTCAGCACTGATGAATTGTTTTTCTTTGCTGTAAGGCAGGGATCTATGGGGCAGAGGGTATATTTGAAAATGACAGTGGTATGGAAAACCAAAAAAATTTTTTTTTTTTTAAATAAAGGCAGGAAGTATGGAAACGTCTTGCTAACTGAGGAATCAGAGACAAGCATAAGTTGTCAGAGCTGAGAGGGAACATAAGCTTAATGAAGGACCAAGAGGTGGCAACTGACACAGTACATACATTTTTATCCACAAAGCAAAGAAAATAAAGGATAGACAGATGAAAATTCTTATTTCAAAGTAAAGTTATAATATCTTTAATAATATCTATAGTAGTTCTGAAATAATAAGCTTTTAACTATTTGTATTTAAAAGGCATTTGCACAGATAGGATAATTTATAGTAAAAGTATTTTTAAAATTTACATCATTTGACACAATTGGTTTTTCTAGTGTTAAGAATCATTTCATTCAAGTTCCTTTGGACAGAGGGAAAAACTGAGGCACAGAAAGGCATGGGTTCTTTTCCCAAGATTATACAGAAAATTACTGATAAAACTGAGGCTATCATAGAAATGTCCTGACTCTCTGACCTGGACAAGATGAAGGCCACGCATATCAGGCATGATATGGGGACTCTAGGAAGGCCTGTGGTTTAGAAAAAGAAAAGTTCTCTCTTTGCCGAATAGTGCTTGAAATCCACAGTTAGAGATTAATCCCTTTAGTTCAAGGCTAATCCCTGTTCTTATAGCTTGTTTCTCTCACAACTCCTGACTCTTTTAAGACTGGTGTCCCTTTAAGAGCACTGGCTAGTATTCTGTAAATGTTGATTACCCAGCTTTCTTTTTTATCGTTTTTTTTTTACCCAGCTTTCTTAAAACACAGTGCCTCACACTTACTTCATAATCAGGGGTTCTTAACCTGCAGTCTATGAATTTGGTTTTAAAAACTATATTTTTGATAAATACATTTTAATATAATTGATTCCCTTTGTAATTCTCTATATTTTATTCAGTACATTGAAAACCATGATTCTGAGAAGGGGAACACAGGCTTCTCCAGATTGACCAGAGGGGTCCATAACACAAAACAGATAAGATCCCCTATGGTAGATGCTTAAGAAATGCTTGTCAGAGTGAAATTGATTAGACAAGCTATACCCAGACACCACTAAACAAAATCCCAGCTTTCCATAAGCCTATTTTTGTAGATTTAGGCCAGCACTTTACAAAATGTATCACAATCAGCTCCAAATGGATAAGCAATCTAAGTACAAAATGTAACATCATTAAAAACAACAACAACAAGAGGACAATGGAAGGTGATATCTTTCAGATATAGTGGTAGATGGGGGGAGAAGGGGAGAATTCTTAAAGAAACTATAAAGGTGATCACATAAGATAAACTAGATAAATCTGATTACATACATTTTAAAGGCTTTGCGCAAACAAAATCAATGCATGAAAATAAGAAGAGAAACAACTGAATGGGGATGAATAGGGAATGGTGATGAATAGGGAATGGGGAAAACTGCAACAGATATTTCTTATAAAAGCTTGCTATCTAAGATACTTTAGGGCAGGTAGGTGGTAAAGTGGAAAGAGTGCTTATCTTTGTGAGTTCAAATCCGGCCTTAGACACTTACTAGCTGTGTGACTCTGGGCAAGTCACTTACTCCTGTTTGCCTCCATTTCCTCCTCTGTAAAATGAGCTGGAGAAGAAAATGGCAAATCACTCCAGTATCTCTGTCAAGAAAATCCCAAATAGGGTCACGAAGAGTTGGAGTGAAAACAACTGAACAAGTTTAAAAAACCTCAAAATATTTAGGAAATTGACTCTAGGTCTTAAGTATTCCATGAAGAATAGGGAGTAGCTGAACAAACTGTGGTATATAAATATGAAAGAATTTTATTGTACTTTAAGAGATGACCAATATGAGAAATCCAGAGAAACACAGGAAGACTTGTATGAGCCGATGTAGAGAGGGGAAAGCAGGACTAAGAGAATAATACAGAGGGCTTCAAAAGTCTTGGTGCAGTTTTAAGCTATTATATTTTAATACAACCCACACAAAGGGAAACAACACTAAAAGCTTCAGAACTCAGCTGAATGGAATGACTAATCTTAATTCCAGAGGCCAGATCAGAAAACATTTCCTCCCTGTCCAGAGAGGGGCAGTGCAGAGTGGGTATGGAATGCTACCCATGTTGTCAGACATGACTGATTTGTCAGCTTGCTACATATAATGGTTTCTCTTTGTTACAACACAGGGTAGGGGGAGGGGGGAGATGTTAGGAAGCAGCAAGGCCCCAGCCCTGCCAAAGCACTTCTCCAATTGAATTGAGCTATCTGGTTTCTGTGCCCTATTCTTACTTCCCCTGCACACATACACATATACTCCACTTCTCTCCACCTATAAGCTGAAGCCCAGTTAATTTGGGGGAAAGATTCCTGCCTTCATGGGAAATCTGTACAAACTCCTGGTCTGAGATAGAAATTGAACCAGTATCCAGCTCCTTCCTTGCTAAGGCTGCCTAAGACCTATCTGCCTATGCTATCTGCCTGCATCTGACCTCCTGTTAACTAGGTCTCTTAGTGCCTGGGGGCTTGTCATCCTGGAACACTTGTGCACTCTTCTGGACCCCTCTCCTACTGGTAAGATCCAGTTGGTAAATGCTCGCTTCCTGCCTGGTCGTACCTCGGTTCTTCACCCTCGGGCTGCTTGCCTGGATTTCGTTTGTTGCCTTCCCATACTTGTCAGCTTCCGCACTTCCTGATTTCTGCTTGTCTGCTGGCCTCAGACTTTCTGGGCACGACAATGTGGCTGCATTGAGGGTGCCTGTCTACATCTGAAAATCAGTTTGTCCCCACCTCACTGTGTATGGTACCCCACCTGCCCCTGACCCAGCATACTATATGAGAGAAGAAAAGAGAAAAGAAGGGTTGCTGGAAGTTGGTTGGGGAAGAAGAGCAGAGTAGAGAGATCCCAGCCTCCCCCAAAGTGATCAGCCATCATAATGGCCCAGCATAAAAGTTTCAGGATCTCCCCAGATGAAGGCCATTCTAGTAGCCTTGCCACCTCATTGTTTCTCTAACTCAAGGCCGGATAGTTAGTTACTCCCGGAATGGACACTGAGGCAAGTGATAGGAAAGAAGTACCTAAATTCTCATGGAAAGTTTCATGGCTCATAGGCATCTCCAACTTGTCATATACAGAATATAACTCATTATTATTTCCTGTAAATGCAATCTCTTTGAAATTTCCTTATTACTGTTTTTAAAATTTTTTTAAATTGTTTTTATTTTGCAGCCATTTATGCCATGAATTCATAGGGGATTGGTTCCAACAGATCAGGTTTCTTGACATTGGTTCTCAACAAAATGTGTTTGTTTCTCTCGGTGCAGCAGGCTGGAATTTCAGTTGAGCCCAAGTGCCTTTTCCTTTGGCTTCCTTCTTCTGATCATTTTCCTTTACCTGCTTCAGAAAGCCATCTCTGCTCTTAGAATATTTAATATGCTCAATACGCACATTAATTCTGTTGGCTAGAATCTTGCCCTTAATCTGTTTGTTTACAACAATGCCTACAGCATGTTGTGTAACATTATAGACCCTTCCAGTCTTGTCATGGTAACATTTGTGGGGCATTCCTTGATGAACTGTGCCCATACCCTTGATATCTACAATATCACCTTTCTTGTATATTTGCATATACATAGCCAAAGGGACAACACCATATTTTCGAAAGGGTCTAGAAACCACTTATCGTGTCCCTTTCCTTTTTCCTTTTGTGTTCATCATTTTGGCAACTCACTGGAATATGGCGGAGCCGGAGGAAAGGAAAACTTATTACTGTTGAGGGCATCATCATTCTATTAATTTCTTAAAATTATTATTTGCTTTTAACATTTAAAAAAAATTTGAGTTCTGAACTTTCTCCGTTCTTCTCACTCCCCTCAATGAGAAGGCAAGAAATGTGACATCAATCATCATTATGAAACCATGCAAAATCTAATTTCCTATTAGCCATGTGGGAACCAGCATTCTTCCAGTTACCCAAGTTTGCAACCTCAGTTTTCTCTTCAACTGTTCACTCTGCCTCATCTCAGATCTTCAAACATTTTCCAACTCTTGTCATTTCTATTTCTCTAACACCTGTCAGCTACATCCCCTTCTCTATGCCTCCTCCTCCTCCTCCACCATCATCACAATCACCATCACTATCGCCGCCACCACCACTACTACCTCTCAGCACATTGGCAATAACCTCCTAATCACTTTCTCCCCACTCCAATCCATCCTTCATACAATTACCTAAAGTTCATGTCAGATCATGTCACTTCCTCCTGCCAAACACAGACTCCTTAATCTCCTGTTGCTCCCTACTATCTCTAGGAGCAAACACTCTTTACAGAAAACTTTACAGAATAATTTAAAGTTTGGATTCAGTCAAAGGGCCATACCTGAGGACCTAGAGAGTCACATGTGGCCTTGAGGCTGCAGGTTCCCCACCCCTGTCCTAGATTATGGGAGGCAAAGGGCATGAACCCCTGCCACCAGGGAACATGTATATGAGTACTTCCATGTCAATCACTATTAGAAGCTGATTGGATTTGATCAGGGGAAAGTACGTCGAAGAAGAAAGATGGCTGCTTTCTTTTCTCCTGTACCCTAAGGGTACCTTTCTATCTGACTTTCATCTAAAACCGTCCTTACCTCATTTCTCCCATTAGATTGTGAGCTCCCTGAGGACAGGGGCTGCCTGACTTAGAAAGTGCTTAGGAAATGTCTTATTCATTTATTCTCATGCATCTAAGCACAATTCAGTATTTAATGAAGCAGATTATAATACTGAAAGTATTACCAGGCTTTGGAGATGCGAAGATAACAAGAAAAGGAATTCCTGCTGGATAATACTAATATTTACTGTATTTTATTCAGGCAATCAACAAACATTTATTAAGTGCCTGCTGTGTCCCAGGAATTACACTACAAATTTCAAGGAGCTTCCATTCTAATGGGGGAGACAACCAGGACACACATGAGCATACGTAAAAGAGAGTAAGTACAAGTGTGTGTGTTTGTCATCATTCAGTTGTTTTCAGTCATGTCTTACTCTTGGTGACCCTCTTTGGGATTTTCTTGGCAGAGATACTAGAGCGGTTTACCATTCCCTTCTCTAGCTCATTTTATAGAGGAAGAAACTGAGGCAAACAGGGGTTAAGTGACTGGCCCAGGGTCATACAGCCAGGAAGTGTCTGAGGCCAAATCTGAACTAATGAAAATGAGTTTTCCTGACTGCAGGCCCTGCCTCTCTTTTGCAGTTATCCCTTCCACATTGTGACTTTCTCCATCATGGTTTTGATATATCGCAGGTTGGCATAAGAAATTAAATGGGAATTTTTTGGGAGCATTGTGGAAGCCACAGACAACATGCAAAGGCCAGCAGATGGCACAGAAAAAATTTAGAAACTCAGAAATGCATAAAATATATATATATTGATATATTTTATCTTTTAATATCATAATAATTCAGACTTCTTCTCTGGTACAAAGGAAGGGCCAAAATTTTTACGTGGATTTTTCCAGATTGGGGGGGGTTATCACACCTCCTAACCCCACCCCCAGTGTGGAAGGGATAGCCATATATGTGTATATATGTTAAATACAAGGTACTTTGGGAGGAAGGGAAATAGCTGTGGGGGGCGGGGCAGGAAAGGCTTCATATGTAAAGAGGTGTTTGATCTGCCTCCTGGAGAACAATCTTATGAGGCAGAGTTGAGAAAGGAGTGCATTAGAGGCATGGGAGGGGGGAGTAGCCAGGGCAGAGGCATGGAGATAGGGGAGTTGGAATATCGTGTGAGGAACAGAGTGAAGGCTAGTTTGGTTAGATGGCAGACTGCAGGGAGTAATTGTACCATGAGGCTGGCAAGTTAGCTTGGGGCTAGGTTGTAAAGGGCTTTCAAAGCTACATAGCTGAGTTGATATTTTATCCTTCGCTATTGTGAAAATATGTTTAATAGGAATGTAAATGTAAAGCCTATATCAGATTGTGCATGGTCTTGGGGAGGGTGGGGGGGAGGAAGGGGGAGAAAAATTTTCAACTCAAAAGCATATGGAAGTGATTGTTGATAAATCAAAATAAATTAATAAATTTTTTTAAAAAAGGAAATTAAAAAAATGATAATTAAACCCATGACAGCTGATGAGGTGACCAAGAGAGGGAATGATAACAATAATGATGATGATGATGATGATGATGATGATGATAAATATATAGCATTTCTATGGTGCTTTACATATATGATCTCATTTGATGCTCACAACAATCCCAGGAGGTAGGTACTATTGTCATATGCATTTTACAAATGAAGAAACTGAGGCTGAGAGAACTTAAGTGTCTGAGGACGGACTGGAACTCAGATCTTCCTTACCCCAAGTCAGCACCCTACTTACTGGTTGCTGTCCTGTTCTAAGTTTACTTATCATGGACCTGATTCTTCCCCACAGGAAGCATGAAAATGCTATATTAGCCAATATAGAATGGACTCCAAACAAAAAAATAAACCTGACGCTTTTCTGGGAGTCGAGGAAATGAGCACCCAAAGGACAAGGGGCTGATGGATTCAAGATACTGGAGAATTGGACTGGAGAGTTGACCTATATGGTAAAGATTGGAAAGAGAGAGGGGTAAAACTAGAGCTGGCAGGATGGCCTGAGAAAGGTCTGAGGGTAGGGGGATTGGGGTCATGATGAATTTAGGATAGGTCTAGGAAGCTGAGAAAAGGCAGAGATGGAGTGGTGGGAGGTTCTGTTTTTGTTTTGTTTTTTTCCTTTTTGGTGAGGCAATCAGGGTTAAGTGACTTGCCCAGAGTCACACAGCTACTAAGTGTCAAATTACTGGGGCCACATTTGAACTCAGGTCCTCCTGACTCCAAGGCCAGAGCTGTATCTACTGTGCCATCTAGCTGCCCCTAGTGGTGGGAGGTTCTGATCACAGAAAAATATCAGAGTTCTTGATCAGGGAAAAAAAAATATTAAAGAATGTATTAAGCGTCTAATATGTGCCAGCCACTGTGCTAAGTGCTCATTTTACAAAATATTATCTCATTTGATCCTCACACTAACCCTGGAAGGTAGTTACTGAGGTAACTAGTGGACATAGTGGAGAGTGGGCCTGGAGTCAGGAAGACCTGAGTTCAAATTCAGCCTCAGACTGAATTTGAGTAGCTGTGTGATGTGGGCAAGTCATTTAACCTGTGTCTCTCTCAGTTTCTTCAAGTGTAAAATGTAATAAATGTAAATGTAATAATAGCACTTACCTCCCAGGGTTATTGTGAGCATCAGATGAGATAATATTTGTAAAAGCGCTTAGCACAATGCCTGGCACACAGTAGGTGCTATATAAAAGGGTATATCCTTCCCCTTCATGATGAAAGAAATACAACGCTGGTGAGATCGAGGTTGTACTGACTCTAACTTGCAGAGATTTCTCCCCTGCACTCTCCTTCAGCCACGACATGGACAGCTCCCTGCTGGCCATCAGAAGAGGGGTCACTAGAATGGAGGACAAGGGGCTGCAGTACAATCTACAACGAAGGGGACTTTTTTTTGCCCTTATGAGAAGCAGTGTCTTATGAAGATGGAAGAGAGTACATTTCAAGCTCATGTTTCCTTTTCCCTGTGCTTTCCTCTGACCACTCTGTTTTCATATCCTGGATGTATTGAATCGAACAAACCTTAATATTTAGTAGTAAAGTGTTTTCCCATTATTCAACTATTGATTTAAGCTTTCTTAATGGTCTAATTCATTCCTATTTCAAAGCACTCAAGCACCAAACTCCTGGGAGCGATAACACTGGCTTCTAAAAACAGAAGATTTTAAAAAGGGCAAAAATGCACAATTTGTCCAACTACAGTCCTAGAAAAAAAAATCGATCTTTTAAGAACTCTTCCATAAATCATTTGCCAATAAATTCGGTTACCTAAGAATGGCTTGTGGTGGGACTCCTTTGGGCTTTTCATGAGGGGATTCTCCCAGGCTCCTGGGGTGGTTTTCTCCAAGCCTTGGTACAATATCATTTGGGGAAGGTTCCAAGGAGCTAGCTAGCAGATGTGCTTCTCTGAAGTGCATCAGCATTTGAATATTCAAATTATTTTAAATGTTCTATATCCCCAAGTGTTTTTGTTTTCCAGGGAGTCAAATGAGTTATCTCTACCCCTCAAAAAAAGTTCTCTCCAGCCCATATTACCTTACACATGAGGCCTCCTCTATTAGAATGAGCAGGGATTGGCTCCCTTTTGTATTTGCATCTCTAGTTCCCAGCAGAAAGCTTGGTACATAATAGGCACTTAATAAATGCTTTTTCATTCACTCATTCATTCATTCATTCATCTATTTGTTTTGAGGGCAGGGGAAAGGGGGACACTTCTGTTGCCTTTGCCAGCCACCAGTATCCTCTACTTAGAATATTCTTCAAACAAAAATTCACAAAGTATGAATTAGATTCCAGAGTTGGCTCTCTAAGGCAAACTTTGCTTTTAAGGTCAATTTAACTGATAAGGCCTCCAAATTTTCTTCATTTTCAACTCCTGAAAGCATTAGGGCACTTTCATTAGGCAATCTTTATTGTTCTTTCACTTTCCTGGGCTTCTTTGTGCTCTGGACCCCATCATTAATCTTCATCATACAATGTGCATTATCTTCACTGGGGCTAAAATACTGGGCTCCAATAGCAGCCCCAGATAATAGGCATATAATTATTATATGAGATGGATCTAATGTAAATACGTATTAGAAAAAGTCTGAGGGATATTTTTCCGTATTAACTCCAAAGTTTTTGTTTGCCCCTTTCCTTATTGGGAAAGGTTCTTCTAGATAATGGAGCTTTGCAATGCTCTCCACAAACCCCTCCCCAGCACACCATGTCCATTACTCCCTCCAGCCCTTTTGCTCACGCTGTTCCCTTGTCATGGATTGACTGTCACCTTCCTCTGCCTGCTGAAATCTGACTCATCCTTCAAAGGACAGTGCTGGCAGCCCAAAAGAGTCAATGCAATCTCAGGCTGTGTTAACTAAAGTTTGGTGGCCAGGAGGAAGAAGCAGGCAGTCCCATAGTCCTCTGCCCCCGAGCAGGTCCCTGGAGGAGGACTTTGCTCAGTTCTGCCACCTCTACTCTTCTAGACTCTCAGGTTGCCAAGCCCATTGTCATCCTTGACTCCTTGGTCATCCAATTTATTGCTAAGTTTTGTCAATTCTCCTTTCACAACATTTCTTAGCCTTACCTCTTGCTCTTTACTCACATGACCACCACCCTAGCTCAAGTCCCCATATTTCTAGCCTGGTCTATTGCAATAGCCTCCCAGTTGGTATCTCTGCTTCCAGACTCTCCGTTCTCTGACTCCTCCACCACACAGCTGCCAAAGTGATTTTGTTAACGTGCAGAGCTGCCCATGTTACTCCTCTGTTTAAAAAACTGCAGTGGTTCTTTATTACCTCCAGGATCAAATACAAACTCGGAAAGCCCTCTACAATCTGGCACTACCCTACCTTTCTAGGATTTTTACTGATTATTCTCATTCACAGACTCTTCAGTGTAGGCAAATTAAACTTCTTGCTGTCCCTCATACATCACATATGTATCTCCCATCTCTGTGCCTCTGCACAGCCAGCTCCCCTTTCTGGGAAGGCAATCTGTCCTCAATTCCAGCAGCGCCACTCCCTACCTGAGAATGCTCTTGTTTGCTAGCCCCTAATACCTTTACCTTTCACCACAAGTAACATTGCATCGATCCGGCACATGTTTGCTATGTACTTGTATGTGCACAAGATGTCCATCCCAGTAGAAGGCAAGCTTCCTGAAGGTTTATACAATATTACTCTTGGCTTCGTATCCTTCCGGGCTTAATGCAGTGCTTGGTACAGAGCAGGCACTTAATAGTCATATATTGACTTGACCCATTGATTGATCTGCCAAAGGATATAAATTAACAGTGAAAAGAATTTTGATTTAATGTGGAAATTGTGTGGTTGTGAGCCACGGAAGAATTGAAAATAGGTATTACACACAGGACAATGGAGGGGCACATAGTGAGTAGGCTATGTGTAGCATATACAAGGAAATATGAAGATGAACCAGTATAAGGCCCCATGTGAAGATGAGCTGACTCTCTGGCGATCACAAGGCTCTAGAACTTTGGGCTACATTCATATCCCTGTGATAACAAGAGAAATCAAGCAAGGCCCCCAGCATGTAGGGTGGGACCCTGTGGCAAACTTGTTAGAGGTCAAGGGCCCAAGCCACCTTTGATGGGCAGGCATAATTAGACGGAACACCCACATCAGTGAATCACATGACCATGGGGAGACAACAACTTCCCCACCCTTAGACATGTTCACATTAGTGTTCAATTAGCCCACAAGGTGAGACTTCCCATCCTTTGAAGACTTGGAGTCTTTATGCAGAGAACCGCTTGTTAGGGCTAATGTGGAGGGCGGCCATGCTTCCTTAGAATGCAAGGGCAGGGCACATGGCTGGCCCTCTAGCAAAAGGATAGTGGGTTGGGGTTAGAGTGGCATGGGGTCCTGGGATATAGCCAGCAGAGGTAGGGTCTCTCCATGGCCCTTTTGGTGATCAGGTCATGGTATTCCATAATTTCTTTTCATATAACCTCACTGAATGAATACTGGTGTTAGATATGCCTTGGTTTTGAGAGAAGCTTGGGGTCTTGGCAATGTTGAAGAAGACAGAAACTATGATTACTAATATTTGAAACTAGCAAAGAACAGGTAAGGCAAAGCAACAGTTCCCTCTTGTAACAGCTGTGGATAATGATTCTACCTTTCTCAGAAAGAACACCATGAACATAAACAGCACTGACCTGGTAGTCAGGGGACACTGGGGTTCTTATCAGCGCTCTGCCACTAATTTGCTAAGGTGACTTTGGGTAAGTCATTTTACTGCTGGACTTCAGTTTCTTCAGCTATCAACTGCTGATAATAGCTGCCTTGTCTTGCTCACAGTTTGGTGGTGGTTGTGAGGCTTAAATCATTCATGGGCAAATGTTTTGAAAAAGTTAAAAGCACCATGCAAATGGAGAGTGGTATTATTTTAGAGTATTAGCACTATCTCTCTGCCTGAGAGAACATAATAACCCAGGATCCATGACAAAGGGCTTAGCAGCAACAGCCCAATTAGACATCAGTGGATGGCAGCAGGCAAACTGCGCAAAATACATCAGCATATAGAGAAGGGAAGTCATTCATTTTTCATAAATGCCAAAGAGGAAGAAACTTCAGCTTTTCTTCAACTGTGGAGCTCCTGCCATTATTTATAGAAATGTAATCAACTATTCACCATTTCTTTATCTGACTTCCGAAAAATGTTACACTTGTACCCACAGTGCAAGGTGAATAGATACATTTTCTTGATCCCTTTTGGGCAGGGTGATAATAAACTAGCCAAGACTGGCCTTGAGCACAGGGCAGATGGATGGATGGACTTTGGATGAAACTCCAAGCAAGATTAAAAATTGTTGGAAAGCCTTAGTGTCAGTCTAGCTGAAAACCCCTTGTAGGGTCACTTTAGCTGTGTGATGCTGGTATGAATACAAATGCCCTTGCAGGGATATGGCCCCTCCTCAATGGCATCCCTACAGATTGCAGGGTCTGCATGGGAAAGTGCAGCCCTGAGAAAGCAAGGAACTCCTTTTCTCTGGGAATTCAGAAATAAGACTGTGAATCTGATGGGCAGCCTGGGACACTGTAAGCATCCCTGTGGCCTACTCCAGGCATAAGGAATCATAACAGCAACAGTAACAACAACACAGTCATACCCAGTGTTCATCCTGA